GGGAAAGATCTCTAACATTTGGCAGCAAATCGAAGAGACTAAAAAAGAGCATCGAGCATTGCTGATTGAGCAACACCAATTGAAATTACAAATGGAAGCTACTGAAAATGAGAGATTAGTTAAAGAAGGTTACTCTCCTTCCCCATTTGTGTTTTTTGAATTTCTGACTCTGTGTTGCTTATATCACTATAGAGCTCAACCTGTTTCTACTTTTCAGTTGAAATCGAAAAGAACAAAGCAGAAGTGAATAGGCTGAGAGAACTCCAATTTAATCAATTGCAAGCAAAACAAAATGCAACGCGTAATTCAGATGATGGTTTGCATGCAGTTAAAGCACAACTAGATCTCAACTTCTAGTGTGGGACAAAATGTTCACAGATATCCGGATCAAGGTTAGTAGAATATATATCATATACTAAGTGAGTTTAGTTCAGTAGTGTATGAGTTGTTATAACTTTTTATACCAAATTTGATTATTATAGATAAAAAAAAAATCACATGATATAGTCAAAAGACTCAACTATAATTGTATTATTTATGCTCATGAATATGAAAAAGAAGTTTAATGAATTTCTAATGATATAGTTGAACTGTAAGCGCTGAAATGACCTATATGCTGTACATAATTCATAGTTAAATATATATATTTAATTATATTATATATGTAACACTATTTTTGAAACATGCTTTAGAACATTATTTATTTATTTTTCTCATATCATCATCTCATGTCACTTTTATCTCTTTCCAATCTGCCTTTATTCTAAAGAAATTTGTACTGAAACAGTTTCTCTATATTTTTTGTGTTGCCCCCTATAACTATTGGTTCTTTACTGTATTGATTTTGAACAGCTTTAGTTGCCAGTTCGAGTTTACTCAAACCTGGACTAGAGACTTGAAGTCTGATAAAGTGTACGTCGAATCATGCAGCAGATGGTGGCTATAGTGCAATTTTATTTTTTCTAGATATATCTTTTTAAATTTCTGAATTAGCATATTTGGAGTAATGTTTTGTGTTATGGTTTCAGCGTCTTTTAAGTAAGAGTGACAAAAAATTCTCAAGGTTGTTATTATTTTCAGTTTTCGTATAAACTTAAAGTAATTAAGCATCAATCGTTATGTTCTATAAGTCGATCTAATATATATGGTCGTCTCCAAAATTTAATCCCCTGCTAAATCCGACTTTATTTTGGTATTTCAGTTAGAAAATCAAAAAATGTTGTGTACTAGTCGGACTTAAAATGTGATGGGGTGAACGTGTTAGCAAAATTGATTTGGATCAATAGATCACTATTTTAAGAATAGTATTTTAATTTATAACATCTTTCTATGTTGGTTGTTATATAATCAATGTAGAATGTGATACATATGCCTGTTTTAGAGTTTCATGATCGAAGTAAAAATGTCATTTTAAATCGATATAAATATTAATGTTCTTCATATGGACCATAGATTCAACTAGTTCAATTAAAAACCGTTTAAACGAGTGAGTTAATTGATTCATAAAAATGTTATAGAATTTATGTTACTTAGTGAGACTTGATTGGGTTTTTAAATGCACACGAAGACAGAAGGGCATGAATGGTATTGACAAGTTTATAATTTCCATGAAAACTTTTTGAAATTTAGAAACAAAACTCCATGTAAATTTATTCCTAGTTAGCTATAGTTTTTTTAAAATTTTTGATGTTTTCGTGTTTTTTATTTCCTACTTATTTAAACATGCATGTTGATGATAGATTACATTGTGTTGAGACTTGAATTACTCTAGTCTTGATATTTTATATTTTGAATATAAACATGAGAAGTGTCATCAATAACGGGTTACAATGTATCAATATATTGTCTTAATAAATTTAGTCTATTTACCAATAGTTTATATAAGAAAGTAATGTGTAAGACATAAGAATAATTTATATTTCCTATTGAACAATGAGAAATTATTGATATATGATTCATTAATCATGACAGATTATTAAAAAAACTATTTCGTAAAAAAAAAAAAATAATGCTAATTGTTCTTACCGGAGATCGGTTGTGAGGGACAATCTGCTATGTAAGATTGATGAGCCTTCTTTGCTGGGTACGTCGGCTGTTCCGAAGTAGGGGTGGTACCTGCAAAAGAGACTCCGATACTAAAGTTAATTTTTGTCGGTATATGGATCTCATATATGTAGTGCACGTACCTTAGTGTAAATTAGGATTTATCTGGGCCTGAGGTCGGTTGTGGCCCGTTCAGATAGTGAGCCTTTGTCTTGGCCGATGCCTTGTAGCACTCATCCGATGTCATGCGGGGCTTAGCACCGAGTTTGAGCTCGGTGCTTGCGCGCAGATAATACACTAATAAAACACTTGTCGATAATAATAGGTAACACTAATTAAATTGTCGAATATAATAAAGGCAACTTAAAAAAAAAAAAGTTTAGTTTATGATAATATTCATCACAAACAAAACCGTTGCATAGACATCAATTAACAATTTGTTGTTTAATCTAATAACCATCATTTTTAAAATTGTTAATAGAAGTTATAGTTTTTTTTATGTATGATTGATGTTATTCTCTAATTAGAGTTAGAATTTTATCTTGATAATATATATAAATATATATTAATAAGATTTATATTAAATACAAATCTATAATACTTAGATGAAATTTTAACTCTAATTAAAAGATAATAACAATCATATTTAAAGAATTATACCTATATTTTCTTCTAAAATTGTTGCATAATCCAACAAAATAAGAAGCGATTTTATATTAATGTGGTCTAAAGTGTAAAAAGTAGTTGTCTATATAATTTAAAGAAGATAAAATTTGAAGTGTGGTCTAAAGAAGATAATTTAAAAAGGAGTTAATAAAGATAATAAAAAGAATATAAAATTTGAGAATTAAAAAGAATTTAAATGAACAATATAAGAAATTGATGATAATTTTTATAATTTAAATGAGCAAGATAAAGAATTGATTTAGATAATATTTAAAAGATATTTTGGGATCAGGATTCGACCAATGAATTTTCATTAGTCTAATTAATTGTTTCAGTCAATTATTGAAAGTGAATTCATGTAAGGTATTTTCTTTCAAGATATGAAAGTATATATAATTAAATTGACTCTTATTATTATGATAGTTATATTCAATTAAATATATTATATTTTTTGTTAATTTATTTATCTTAAAAAAATTATACCCCCTTTACATTTAAAATTGAAGTCCAATCCTTAGGGTCCTAACATTTAAGTTCACCTTTGTAATATCTAAATTATGAAAAACGTAGAAAAATACTTTGCATATATAAATCATCAAGAGATTGAATCAAGAGAAGAAAAAAAAACAATTAAAAATGATTGAACGATTCAATTAAGCAGGACAGGTTCTCGAGTTTTAAATTTCAATTTGAGAATAAAAGAATACTCAGCACTCACACAAGTTCATGGTTATTTTCCCAAAAAGAAAGATAATAAAGCATAAGTTAGGAATGAACTATGAGCTGAAAGAAAGAGAAAGTAAGAATTCTAAGTCTAGGATATAGAAAATAGAGCAAAAGATGACTCATTCTCAATTCACTTTTTAAAAGCCTAAAAACTAATCCCTAAAAAGAAATACATTTAAATTAAATCAAAAAATTCAAAACCAAAAGAAAAAGACAATCTCCAACGTTTGCATAGACATGCAAATGGGTTGCATGCTCATGCAAGTTGTTGTCATATGATTCCCATTGATGTGCCTGTTTGCATATGGACATGTCTTCCAATTGCACGTCTGCGCCAAACGGGAATTGGCTGGGATCTTCTCTTTTTTTTTTTCTTTCACATTCGCAAGTTTGTAATTATCAACTATGTTCTGATGATTCATGTAAATATGAAATTCCCCTCTTACATCTAAATTGACTCATTTTTAACACTTGTATTCATAAAAACACCCGAGCTTAACAGGCTTGATAGAAAAAGAGAAATGTGAAGGAAAAAAAAAAACAAAAATAGAAAACAAAACAAATATTTATGTGAACAAATTTGAGTAAATATGCTTCCTTCATATCTACTAAATACAGTACATCAACCCACACCGCAATCTTTATAACCGGCCAGTAGAAATCTTATAGCAACCAACATATTATTGCTTTATGTTATAATAACGCTATAGTTTTCTTTTTGTCATTATCAGAGTTTTAAATTGTGGTCTGCCGTCATAATATTGTTGTTGCACTGCTCATCGCAACCGCAATGACATGCAATTGTAGTGTAATTTTAAATCATTTAAAATTAGGCAATTCAACCTTAATATAATTGAATACGATCACAATAGTTTCGTAATATTATTTTATTCTATTTTTTGTGTCAAAATACATACATAGATTCAAGTTTTAATTTTTTATTTTAATAAGTTTGGTCACATGGGATATTAAAGAAAGAAGAAAAATAACTAATGACAATTGGTTGAAATGTTGAGATGTGCATGATGTATTTTAAGAAAGGGGAAAAGAGGTTTTGAATAAAAAAAAATAAAGAAAAAGAGATGCAGTTATTTGTTTATATTCGTGCAAATATATAAAAATTTCATACTACAATAGTTATAATCCGCATTGTAATAGTGCAAAAGAGGCTTTTTACGTCAGTTATTTTAAGGTTTTTACGTCCGAAAAACCTCCGACGTAAAAGTCGGAGACGTAAATTTACGTCAGCGTTTTAGACCGACGTAAATTTACGTCAAAGATTAGCTAACACCGACGTAAAAAAGTTACAAAAACCCAAAAAAAAATTACGCTGGAACGGCCCGTTCTGAAAGGAGAACGGCCTGTTCTCCTTGCAGAACGGGCCGTTCTCCTTGCTGAGGGTAGTCCATATTCAGGATCCAGAAGGCCTTGTACAAATTTCTGCTCCTGTCTGCAGCCAAAGATAAACATTACGATACCTTCGAACGGAATAAAGAAAGGAGGGAAGAAGATAAGAAAGGAACCTTCGAACGTAGGAAAGGAGCGAAGAACGAGAACGAAATCTGAATGCTCCCAAACAATGGCGTTACGTGTTGGCTGCAAAATCTGAACGAAATCTGGTGAAGAATGGAGAGGCGTTACGTGTTGGCTGCGAAGCAGGGAGAGCGGGAAGGAAATCTGGTGAAGAATGGGAAAAAATGGAGAGGCGCTACGCAACTTAAATTCAAAAATTCAACTTGAATTTACGTCAGACAACAAAGGGACCGACGTAAATTCAACAATCTACGTCGGTTGTAGCCGAGGTCCGACGTAGATTGTTGAATTTACGTCGGTCCCTTTGTTGTCCGACGTAAAAAAGTTTGCTTTATTTTCAAAAATGCCACCGCGTCGTTTTTACGTCGGATATGTTGTAGTCTGACGTG